AGGTCTAGGAACACCATGTGAATGTCTTGTCCGCTTTCTCTGTATGTTTCGAGGACTGGTCTTAAAACGAAGATAGCAACCGTTGTTGATCTGCCTGACATAAGGCCAAATTGGTTCATTTTGATGTCGACCTCCTTGCTCAGTCTTTTGTCTAGCACCCTCTCATATACCTTCATGGTGTGACTAAGCAGTTTAATTTCCCTGTAGTTTTCACAGGCGAGTATGTCCCCTTGGTTTTGTGCATTGACATCAAAATTCTCTGCCTCCATGGTTCTGGCATTTTCTCACATTCCATAATTTTGTTAACTAGGGCGCAGAGCTAGATCACGTCTTGTTGGCCCAACGCTTTTCATTTTTCTATTGGAACTGACCGAGAGCTTTTTTATTTTTCATTCTGCTCAAGGCTTGTTCTACTTCCGCTATTGAGATTTTATCGATTAGACCCTGGTTTTGTCGGATCTTTTCCTTGTCCTCTTTGGCATGTTCTTCGTCTAGTAACGTTTGGTTCTAAGTATATTTCTCGCTGGTCGGCACCATTCAGCTTTCGTCTTTTATGCACCTCACTTTACCAATATCTCCTGTTCTTCTTACTCCGGCTTTTGCTATTCGATAATGTCTTTTCCCCTTCCTTCGTTTCCCATAAACTTGTTCTCGCAGTAGACTTTGCTTGGACGACGACATTTTTTGCCCCATCCTCAGTCTAGCATATTTTACTCTACTTTCCATGCTGTTTGATAGTTTCCATTTTTTGGACAGCTGTTTCTTCTGTCGTAGGGTCGCCTGAACGTCCGCATTCCACCACCACGTTTCTTTCTGAATGTGTTGTGCCTCTGGCATTCCCTATGATTATGTTGCCAATCCGCTGCCACACTTCGTTCACTTTCTTATCCGTCTTCCTTCGTCAATTTTATCGTAACTTCCATCTGAAACGCTTCTTTCAGCTTCCTTTCGAGCTTCCACCACTATATCTGCAGAGCTGTCGTCATGCCCACCGTCTGAATGGGCCGTTTCAGAGAGCGGTCTACGGTCAGTAGCCCGTGCTGGCTTGTAACAGTTTCCCCGGTTATAACTTTGCAGTATCTAACGAGTAGAAAGTAGTCGACTATTGTTCTGCCCGCTCTTGGAAGTTAGTAGGTGGTTTCTCTTTTCTGGAAGAACATGTTTACCAGAGCCAAATCATCTGCTTGATGTTCTCTCCTTTATTTAACGTTCCATGTCCATATCTTCCATGGATCCTGTTTTAACCTCTTCGTTGTTTCCTGACGTGCCGTTTAAGGTCACCCCGATTACCATTTTTTCTTTTCGCAGTAGGTTTTGCAGTGCAGTGTCTAGGCCTTCCCGGAGTATCGATATTTTGGCTTTATCCTGGCTAGTCTGAGGTGTATAGGCACTGATTTTATTTAAGATACTGCTCCAAAGTTAGTTTAACGCCCATGATTGTCGTTAATTCGGTTGACTTCGAATACTTTGTTTTTGGTTGCTTCATTCAGTAGCACTCCAACTCCGTTTGTTCTTTTCGATGTTCCACAGTAAACAAGTTTATAGTCTAGCCAAATCTCCTTCGCTTTCTCACCTTCTCAT